GCAAAATATCAAAGCACATGCATGACTATCTGACATCAAACTTGCATTTTGCTTCTTTGTTTTTCCTGAGTCTACCAAACTACTGAAGTGCAAATAAATCTGCTGTGCAGCAAGTGCTATTTACACCTGAGTGCAAACAGTTAGTCTGATGATTACTCTGATCACACAGAGCTTCCGTGTCTTGTCCATAGATGAAGATTGGAGAGCCATCTAGAGGACACAGCTGAAAATGAAAATGTAGAATGCAGTCAGCTGCAAAAGACCCCGATAAGGCAGAGATGTCCAAACTAGTTGTACATGTGCGGACCACCGCCTGATGTGATTTGTGACTGTGACATAACTTAAAAATAGAAAAGAATCTGAGGTGCTGCTATTGAGAAATTACATGAAATTCATATTCTGAACACTGGGTGTCACTATAATGTACCAACAAATCTCACAATGTATCATGAACTTCGTATTTAGGCCAATGCAAAGGGGTAATTGAATTTTCTATAGGTTTTTAGAATGCCACTTTTCAAATTATAAGCACATTTAGAGCTGTGGTTAACATTAGACTTTCACGTTTTGTTGTACTACAAATTTAAGACAGTCATACTTCAAACTTGTTTTTGAAGCAGTTAATTTTTTTTTAGGTAACAATTTTATCAAGTAGCACTGGGTGGTTTGGGGAAGAAAAAAAGCACTGTGAACTCTGATTAATTTTAAATCCATAGGTTCAGATAGGGTACATTTGACTATTGGGTAAAATGTCCATTTTTATTTGCACTGAACAATTTTTAGCAATACTAAGTATTAAATAAAATATAGGTCTATATTTATGTACAGTAAACACATTGTTTTGTATTATTTATGTCACTTACTCATAGTATTATTATTATTAGTTCATATCATTCATATTCATATTCATATTAGTAATTTTATGTGCTTTTGTTTTTTAAACATTTTTGTTTTAAATTTCCATTTAGCTTTCATTTATATTTATTTCAGTTTTAGTAATTTTAGTACTTCAGTTAGTTAGCAATGACGATACTGCACTGAACTGTTTTAGTATTTTATCAATACTTCTTTAGTATTGAATGAAATATATAAGTAGGTCTATATTTACATGCAGGCCATACAGATCTTAACTGAGCTCAACGCAGCGCATTCTGGAATTGCCTTCTTTGTGAAGGACAAATGTGACGTTCCCTTAGAATTTTGTAATTACTAGATATGTTAAGGCAGCATAATTTAGTAGCTGTTGGAAACAAATGATGCCTCCATAGGCAGCTCACTAGACTGGAACTAAGGCCATGTGCGCTTTACTAAAGAGCAATGCCCATCATTAGGCTCTGCCCACACCACCAATCATCAACAGACATCTGTTAATTTGGCTAAGAGTGTAAAAAGAGGTTGAGTAACCCAGACACTCTGCCAGAAAGAAAGTGAATCAGACACTGACAGCCTAACAAAACTTTTAATGTGTCACATGCACTATGTTGTCTCTTTTCCTTTCTGTTCCTTTCTGTCGGTTGGACATGTAACACATACACATGTCCATATTATACATAAGTTAAAAAAAACAAAAACAAACAAGGAATGACAAGGTAAATGGAAACAGAGAGCAATTGTAATAGGAAAGGAGGGTTCAGCCTTTGTCCCTCATATGGTGGCAGGAGGATACATACTGCACTGCCAGGTGGATACACTTTTTTCTTTTTTTCCTTTCTCTTTTACTTATTTTCATTAAAAAAAATCTCAAAATGGTAAATAAAATACAGTTACAGTAAATAATTCAAATAAAATGTTAAAAAAAAACAAAAAAACAATAGCATTACTGAAAAAAAAAAAAAAAAAAACTCTAATCTGTTTCTTTGAAATTGTAAGTGTCAAAAAGGTTACACTTGACTTGACAGACCACCTCTCCCACCCACTACACCAAATTTAATTGAAATGCTGCTGCCTCCTAATCAAGGCTAGTATGATTTGCATATGGCTGCATGCACCCCTCCCTTGCATGTCTGAGAGCCTGGCACTGAGCCAGCAGTCAGAAAGGAACCAAGAACATCTGACATGATATGAAGCACAAGGAGAGCAATGCAGAGATGGGTGGCAAGGTAGACGCAAAACGAAAACAGGAAAATGAAGCAATGCAGAAAGGATGAGAAAAACAAATTCAAAACAAATCACACAGATGCCCGCAGAGGTAATCAAGGGGCAAACTAGATCATGACGGCAGGTGGCCACGACCATACCAGCTCTGAGCACTGATATAAAACAAAATGGCAGGTAATGTGTCTAATTAAAGTGGAGTCCTACAAAAAGCTCTTTTGGAATAAGCAGTTTTAATTAACACAGTCTTGTAGCAGCTAACATATGCAGATTAGAGAGGAGGAGTCAGAATTGGAGCAGTCAACTTTCTGCTAATTACTAAGAAGGAGACCTCAAGGACTACTTGAGCAGATGCTGATTATAGCAGTTTGAGCACAGACATTCATTAATGAGGTCCAAACAAATGCTGGCTCCCAGTGCCCTCCTCAGTGTGAGGAAAGGCTGCCTACAGCATGACTGATGCTCTTAAGTGCCCATGTTAATCAAACAAGACAAACATACAGAATGGATAAAATTTAGAAGAAAAAAAAAGTAGAACAATGAAGGAAATTCTAGTTGGGAAGTACTTAATTAGATTTTTATGCAAATAATGTTTTAATATATGCACATAGGCCTATTCACTCTTATTTGAATGCGTAATAAGTCGAAAGCACAAACATTTCTTGTCTCGTCACATTCAGGGAGGAATTACACGAATCACGTAGGCTCCATTCAAAATGGCGAAACTTGAGGGAAATAGCAGTTTGGATATTACTGTCGGTTGTTTAACATTTCTGTCTGAATATTTCAGTCAAATATTAAATCTTTTGCTACTCATATCTAACTAGCTCTTAACTCTTTTAAAGTTGAAGCTGACGCTTCGCGCTGGAAACAGTGTTGCCAGATTGGATGGAAGATTTCCAGCCGTAAAGCTCACCAAAACTCGCCCAAAACTTTAACTGTCAAAATAATGTGATAGAATGTTATTACCATGTCAATTAAGGTTGATAAGGACCATTTTAACTCATTAAAACAAATTATTATAATAATTAGGCTATAATAAATAAATAATTTAAAAATAGATACATTTCACTGGAAAACGGATCGAATCAGGGCAAATACAGTAGAGAATTACTATATGCAGGCAGACACTAGCCTATGTCAAAACGGCAATCAAGAAATTAACCGATACCCTCGCAAAAGCACATGCATCATTTTCAGTGTCAACAAAAGTGCCCAACATAATTGGAAAAAGCAACGTAATTAGCAGGTATTTCACACTCGTTCATGCACACACCATGACAGTCAAAACAGTGTTATTCATCGATACATACTGTACGATAATGTGACAAAAATAAATAAATAAATACAATTAACAACAATAATGTGCTTACCTTCGTGTCACGCTTTAACTTCAGACAGAACTAGAGGAAGTCTTTCGTGGATCATAATACAGAACTTTGCACAATCAAAACTAATCAAGTCCAGCTTTTTAAAACATGTCCTGATGCAGGACAGGACCTTATAGTCCCAGATATTCAGTTTCGAATTTGATTAATTTATTCAACTGTGCTCTGATTTCAGGTGTAACGTTAATTCACTGAGTCGAGTCACTCTCCCACTCTTTACCGTGTAACTTATATTTAGGCCACTCTGGCATCGTGATCACTTGAAAATACTGCTATACGTTCAAAATCTGATCCCTTGTGGCGCTAAAACCCGTCACTCATGAATCATCACGTCTTTCTGCTGATCACTGATTGGCTAAAAGCAGAGGCGGACAACTAAGTACATTTACTTCAGTATTGTACTTAAGTACACTTTTTGAGTATCTGTACTTTACTTGAGTATTATTTTTGTCTGGAAACGTATGACTTTTTTGTTTTGTTTTTTCCCCATAGGTTTTTAACATTCTAAAAGCTCTTTATTCCAAATATACTACAAGCTAGTCAGTGTATTCTGTATTGTAAGTTGCTTCAGAGGTATTGCAAGTATTACATACAATGTGCATTACAAAACAGTGCATTGACAAAGGAAATTTACTTTTGGTACTTAAGTACTTTTAAAAGCAAGTACTTCTGTACTTTTACTTAAGTAAAAATATGTCTTTACAACTTTTACTTGTAATGGAGTAATATTTGACCAGCAGTATCTGTACTTTCACTTAAGTAATGGAGTTGTGTACTTTGTCCGCCTCTGGCTAAAAGTGTGCTTGTGATGATGACTGATTAGATGCAGTACATGCACAATTGGGTTTTGTTCGTTAACCAATTAGGCTAAACAGTTTTGAAAACCGCAAAACTGACTCCAAACCAGCCCAAAGTTTGTCCATCCGCCCAAACCAATTTTTTACCCGCACAATCAAACCCGCCCAATCTGGCAACACTGGCTGGAAATCGCGCTCTGCTACTGTGAACCGTAAACCCCGCCTACTTTGATTTGATTGGCCATCTCAATTACTCTGACATTGACGAGCGCTGTTAGCCCGCTGAGGCCGCTGAAGTGACAGCAAGACCTTTAACTCATCCTAACAACAAACAGAGCGCTGCGTAATAGAGTGTGAAAGCAGTGCAATAATTTCAAATACCAACTGGAGGGGACGATTTGACCAATTCTAATTATGCGGTGGGGACTTGTCCCCCTGTGTCTATGTTGGTTATGGCTCTGCTATTCACCAGCAGTTCTCAAATGGTTTGGCTTCATGACCCACACAATTATATCAGTGCCATATCTTTACATTTGTTATATGGTTTATTTAATTGTTCATGTTCATTTCTTTTATTTGCTAGTAAATACTACTCAGTTTGGATAACCTTTCCAACACAAATCCCAAAGATTACTGTTTTTATATGGTAGCGGGGGTCCAATGAGTCCGTTTTCCTGTAATTATTTGCACGGATGTGATAAAACAAATAGCAGTGGCACACCAGGTTCTCCACAATGCCATCTCGTTGAGCCGACGGACACGGTACATCTCGTAGTGGATGCTGCTGGTGATGTCTTTAATGTTCTGCATGTGGGTTCTGCAGAACATGAGCCAATAACACATTAGGACGACAGCGTGATGGGTAATGAATAATGCAGATGTCAGTCACTAACACTTTCATTTAAATTTGCAGTGATAGTTCACCCAAAAATGATAATTCTGTCATCATTTACTGACCCTTAAAAAGGTCCAAACCTTTATTATCCTACTTTAGTCCGTGAAACACAAAAGATATTTTGGAAAATGCCTGTTTTTTTTGTTTTGCTTTTTGTCCATCCAATGACTCCAAAATGTTTGAACAAGATTTTGACTTTGACTGGCTTTCATCGTATGGATAAAACAATGTGACATGCAAATAGCAAATGACGACAGAATTACATTTTTGGATAAACCATCCAAAATTTAGTGAAATAGCTGTACACTTCTGAAAAAGAAGTACACTTTAGCATTCTTTTAAAAAGTAGTTACAGAATTAATTTACTTTCAAACAACATACTTAAGCGTGAATGGAATGTAGTTTTCTGACACTTCAATCCATGTTAATTGCAATTAAATGCAAATTCATAATTACTTCTATTGTCTTTGAAATGTGGTTGAAGTGAACTGTCGAATGTCCTGATAAGGATTTATGGTAAACTAAAATATACTGTAATGTCATTTCTATTGAAACCTGTATGTCATGTATTTAAATATATTTGTAATTACACATTTGTAATGAAGTTGCTATTTAGTACATTGAAAATATATTAACTTTAAAATGTTAAATAACACTACAGTTAAAATTATAAATCAAGTATATGTCCTTTAGTATGTTAGTAAACACACCAAAATAAGTGTACTTCTTTGAAGCACGATTATTAAAACATATTTAAAATCTACTTTTAATAGTACAACAAATTTGACAACAAATTTGTAATAAGTCAAATTTGATATATTACAAAGAGCACTTTTTAAGTGTACTTAAGTGTTTTAAGAAACAGTCAGAAACTTGTACTCCTTGATTAAACTTAAATGGCCTTAATTAAAGTACATTTGACACAATTAAGCACACTTCTTTTCCACAAGGGTATACTTGTAATACTGTTTGTTAACCACAGACATAGACTTAATCCGCTGACCTTATGAGGAGGTCCCGCAGGTAGGCAAACTCACAGTGGACAATATTCTCAACTATAGACACCAAAACACAGCAGACACAAGAGTTACAAACAGAAGGCACAGAGCACTGATCAGATTTCTCTCTAGCCATTTGGAGCAACACATAAAGCAATAAGCACTTGTTCACTCAGTGGAGCTGTTGCAGGTATACTCGTGGAGAGGTGGACAGAGATGAGACAGAATCACCCCAATCTCTAGTAATTCAATTTAAACCGAAGCCTTCCAGAAAGATAACCCTGAGAGCCTGACAAATTCAGTGGGACAAATCCACAGCTGCCTGGATGTGAAGAAATTTTTATGAATTATAGATTACGTCAAACTCCACGAAAGAGAATGAGAAAGCCACCATGGAATAAACATCCAGTGCAGGAAATTAAAGGTTTTCAAAGAGAGACTTTAATAAGAGGAGTCAAGCTCTTCAGAAAGATTACAGGATAATTACAGTCATTTGACTCAAAACATCTCACCTAAAATTAAAGAGTTTTTACTATGTGAGCTGCTAAGTACATCAACCACCCAGGTAGTTACTATTCAAACAAGGTTGTATATTACTCTACAATGATAAGACTTTAGTCTGTATAAATGATATAATATAATACAGAATTTTACAATTATAATATGTGACCCTGGACCACAAAACCAGTCTTAAAGGCACAATATGTAATGATTTTTTTATTAAAATATCCAAAAACCACTAGAACAGTGTTATATATTTTGCTGACTTGTGTACATTATCCCAAATGTTTCGAAGAATGTTTAAATCCAGAGAAATAAGCAATTTTAACTAGTGACACGGAGCGTGTCTATAGTGTCATTGTGTCGCCTGCCAATGACGTCATAACCCCTCAATTTCCGGTTTTGTTTTGTAGAAAACATGGAAACACCAAAGACGCTTTAATATGTTGTGCGTTTTAATAGACATTGATTTTTCTTTTATGCCAAAAATCATTAGGATATTAAGTAAAGCTCATGTTCCATGAAGATATTTTGTAAATTTCCTACCGTAAATATATTAAAACTTAATTTTTGATTAGTAATATGCATTGCTAAGAACTTCATTTGGACAAGTTTAAAGGCGACTGTCTCAATATTTTGATTTTTTTGCACCATCAGATTCCAGATTTTCTCGGCCAAATATTGTCCTATCCTAACAAACCATACATCAATGGAAAGCTTATTTATTCAGCTTTCAGATGATGTATAAATCTAAATTTCGAAAAATTGACCCTTATCCAGGGTCCAGGGTCACATATATGCTAGAATCTAAAATTCAATATTAATGGTACAAAAAAATTATATTCCAAATAAATGCAGTTTTTTCATCTTTCTATTCATCAAAGAATCCTGAAGTAATAAGTACTATTATTATACATAATTAAATTACTTGGGGCAAAAGGGGAAATGGTGAAGTCCTCATCAATGGAGCTTGGTGATAAAGGCATTTAACTGTCCAGCAGCGCGCTGACTCACAGGCAAAATGACGCACTCATAATGGTCTTCAGAATGGGTCCTCATTTACAGAGGATAAGGCTTTCTGATGTTTGACTCATAGCCGTGTGTCTGTGGTTAATGAGCTCCCATGATGTGCTTTTAGAATGTAGCTGTCTGCATAGTCTGCTAATCAATTTCCCTCTCTCTTCTCTAAAGAGGTTTAGAGACCAAAGAGTCACAATACCTTCAATGGTTCCCCATTTTGTTTTCCTTCCCAATAGCCTTCTCCCATTGACCTGATACTCCTGGTCGCTTCCTACTACTGCAAAAGGAATCATTTCCTAAAGGACAGAGGAAAGAAACAGATAATATCACCATGTTCTTAAATGAACTATGGATATTTTCTAAATGTACTCCAAACTCACTCTTATTTTCTCATTGATCGTTCTGTCCTCCGCGTCCTCATCAAACTCTTTCTGTGGATAGACGTCAATCCCATTGGCTCGAAGCTCTTGCCTGATCTATACAAAATGACACAGTACTGTATATATAAAATCATGCAATCTTTAGAAACACTTCATTCGAACCGTTCCTCGATAATATATATTGAATATGAAAAGAAACGAATTTCTTTTCAATACATCAATTCTGTGCAAGACTGGACTGTGACATCACAGGGTGAGCATACTTTGAAACTCTCATTTTTCCTTGAAGTTAAACTAAGTTTGGCTTTTCGTCCCTTCCTGGTTAGAGAACAAATGCTTTTGGAATCTGTCAGGAGCTTTTTCCAAAACAGAAATATCTGTGCCTGTGCTCCAAACAGCATGTGTTCCTCCTGTAAGAGGCATGCCAGCACAAGCACAAGAAGCCGTTGAGGTTGGCGAGTACTTCTTTACTGCTATGTGAAACGCAACTAACAATCCCAGAACAGATGTTGCTTACCTACACTTCATCATACCATGTGTCATCTCAGACTCATACCAGTGCTCTAAAACTGCATAAACAAACTAGTTCACTGCAGCTTTGTTTCAGAATAATCAAAAGCAACAAAAAAGTTTAAGACTTCCAAGACAGTCCTTGTTTTTTGCCATGCATACTGTTTTAAGTAATCCACCATCACATCATAAATAAAACTGCATTTGTATTTTGACAGAGCAGTAGTGTTTCTGTAGAAGCTGTAGAGACCACCATCTGCAGTCTTGGAAATCTCTTAGGGAAGAAAAAGACTAGAATAACAACAAGACAGCATGTACTAGTTCTTCCACACATCAAATGCATCAGTTTGTGGTATTCACAATATTCCACCGGGGCTTGCCGCACAAAGATCCACATTGTATTTTGTCTGATTCTCATACAACATGCCGGGCACAAAAATAAGTGTCCACGATTAAAGAAAGGAATCTTTTAAAAATATATGCGGCAAGTTTTTAGAAATGCACACAGAAATAGGGTTTTGAAAAGCATTAATGCCATTTTCAAGAAAATGTAAGTTTAATGACTCAAAGTAATGTGCAATGTACCAAAAACATAAAAACATTTTCCTTACTCCTTGAATACATGCGAGTGTACACATCCTAATCTCAATATTTTCAACAAAGTATTAATAAAATATATGTAAATTATTTTGTTTATTTTCCTATATTCAATAAACAAATAACACAAAATCTCATATTAAGTTGGTATTTCTGCCATACCACATGACATTTTACAACCTGAACTAGCCTTATCTTGTCATAAAAATGTCAAGTGATCTGTTATTTAAAGATACTTTACACCACTTCAGTTTGAAAGTGTTTTTCAAATATTAATATGCAGTGAAGCGGTTCTGTTGAATATTCTACAGTTTCTACAATATTTTATCTAAATAAAAATAAAAAAAAGTACAGCAGCACATTAACTTGAACTCTGTAAAGAATAAAGCAATAACAGCCATTCATTTGTAAGTCAAACTTTAGCTCACCTTCTTTTTGAAGAAGTCCCTCTCCTCCAGAGTCAGGGTGTCAGCCTTAGCGATGACAGGAACGATGTTCACCACCTTACTAAGACGTCTCATGAACTCCACATCCAAAGGCCTAAGACTGAGGAAATGACAAAGGAGAAATAGATGTGATGGACTGCACTTCTTAAAAGCAATAAAATGAAACCCAAGTTACTTCTAACAGGACTACACATTAACCACCAGGGGGCAAGAACCACCCAAAATAAACATGTTCTGACACACACTCTAAAGATGCTTGGGCATGGAAAGATTGTTCACGCAATGCTTTAACAGAGGTGTAAGGAGACCTTCGAAAGTGAAATGGAAAAAAACTGAAAAGGAAAAGGCTCAGATTCTTAGAACTGACAAAATCTCCTGCCTGTGTGACTGCAGCAGACCCAGACTGTAGTCTCTGTGGCTGACTGTTTGACTCTAATTAGCCGAGCTGTTCAAAGCCGGAATGCAGCTGCTGAGCAGTGACATCTGCAGTGCTGGATGGACATAAAACAGTCAGTCATTCACAGAAAGGCCTGCACTCACACTCAGGACACCGAATCCATGGGTGTGTGGTTGGCATGTGTGTTCACGGTCCTTAGATCTTTTTCAAAATAGGTTGGATAGATGGGTGGATGATCTCTCAAACTGATCAGAAGTCACAGTAAAGGCATTTATTATGTTACAAAATATTTCTATTTCAAATCAATTATTTTGACATTTCTGTTCATCAAAACAATCCAAAAAAATGTATCAACGTTCCACACAAATATTAAGCAGAACAACTGCTTTTAAGATTCATAATTACAAGAAATGTTTCTTGAGCAGCAAATCAGCATATCAGAATGATTTCTGAAGGATCATGTGACACTGAAGACTGGTGTAATGATGCAGAAAATTCAGCTTTGCATCAATAAGGAATAAATTACATTTTTAAAAATATATTCAAATAGAAAACACAATATTACTGATGCTTGTATTCTTCATTAAATAAATACAGCCCTAGTAAGCATTAGAAACCTCTTAAAAAACACTTCTGAATATTCAATTCATATTCATTTTCACACTTGATTTTTTCTTTTATAGAAACTTATGTACACGTCATTCACAGTAGTATAAAATTCAATAATTTCTGCAGACACAAATTAAACCCGAGTAGATCAATATTTTGGCATAAACTCTATTTAGGTGGTCTGCTTTACACTTCTTAGTCCAGAAGTCTCTTAATATTTACTCTGCGCTATCACATGTTAGACAGACAGAAAGCATCTCTGTAAATATGGGTCGTGCCTCTGTCAGGATAACAGAGCACGTGTACATGACGTGCATATACACATTTTATTCTAAAGGCCACTAAAAACTATCCTGCAGTACATGAAGAAGAATGCAGAATGCCTGGAGACACAAGCTGGCCAACAACAGCTATAAAAACACAAGCATACACAATGATTATCCATCAGAGTGAAACAACAGAACAAACCACCCACTTAATCTGGCACAAAGATATTATTAGATGCAACAAGAAAATGTGCTGATGGTAAACAGTGAATACAAATCCCTGACGTAAACAGTAGCTGCTCAGGAGGGCAAAGTGTATTTCAATCTATAAAATGTTTTAAAATCCCAAAGGACCACATACTGAAATTAAGTTGGAAAAATGCTCTTTGGATCCCTAAATGTTTCTGTAAGAGTCACATTGTTAAAAGCCTGCCCTTCCAGTCAAAGGTCAAGCAGTAATGTGTTATACAAGGTCTTGTTAAAATAAGTGTGGTGACTCTACTCCACACCAATTTTACAAGCAGGTCAGGTTTTAAAGCTAACATTATTAAACCGAAAGATGCCCAGGCAGTTCCTGTTTCTAAAAAAGGTCATGAGAACACAAGTATTAGGTATTATTTATAGTCTATCTGGTCACAGTGTGTTCAAGTATAAACTGAATGTGCAAAAATCAAATATCAAGACACAGCTTGTGTTGATTTACTATACACTGAACAACACTTCATTCTGCAGAAGGAACAGTACTGCCCTCTGGAGGCCCTGACATTCCTAATCATCCTTTCCCACAGAGTTTTCCCCCTTTATTGTACATAATCATTAGGCAGGCAATGTACAACACTTATTCATGCTAACGGAGCTGATATTAGTTACTAGACATGAGGTATATGCAGCACAAGGCCTTTAGAGTGATCCTTGTACACAGTTTGAGTATTCAAAGCGTCTTCATGTTCACATGGATGTTTAGGTAAATGAGGATCTGTTTAAAGTCACTTCTAAAGTACACAGATGTATGTTTACTAACCAGTGTCCTGTGGGTGGTATGAAGTATATGCAGCAGTGCACTCGTGAGTCTGGGATCCTCTTCTTCCTGTCAATATTGATCTCTTCCTGCAAGTACTGCTCATACTGGTCATTGATGAACTTCATTATGGGCTGCCAACTGTTGAAAGGAGATGAATGAGAAATAAATGTAATGACACTTCTCCTTCAAAATGTCTCTAGACTAAGAGTGATCGGCACTACATTGATCTCTCAGGATTTTCCAGTCGGATATTCATAGAAGATGAAGCGTTGATCAGCATCACTTTGATAGTTGGGAATGTTGGCATGTGGTTTTATTTTGGAGAGTTTGATTGATGTTCTGCAAGCATGGCTTCACAGATGGGTGCAGAGCATGCCCAGAACAAAACTATACAGCCAACACTAACAGAACTGCTTTAGATTGTCATTTCCATTTCACAGAAGAGGACCTGACTGAACGAAGCACATTTTAGACCATAATAAAACTGGAGGCTACTTTACCAATTCTCGTTGTTGATCTGGTCACCAAACCCTGGTGTGTCTATGACCGTCAGCTTCATTCGAACTCCTTTCTCCTCGATATCTGTTTACAATATGGACGACAATATTAAATCATACAACTAATGCACTCAAAAAAGCATGTCCACTGAAACCTGATGAAATTAAGATTTTATTGAATTCTAGTGGCAGATAAAACTCTTTGACCTCAAGATCATTATGGGTGAATGGCAATGACACATTAATTAAAAATGACTAAAAATGGATCCAGCTGTGCAGCTTTACCATGACTGATGGACTTGATCTCGATGGTTTTGGGAATCTTTTCCTCAGCCGTGCCCAGGAAAGACTTACGGCTCACCTTAGACTTGAAGAGCGTGTTCATCAGTGTGGACTTCCCCAAACCACTCTGACCTGTACACATGTAGAACAATCATACCAACAGAATACACTACACTCATTTTGCCCAGATTTTTTGCCATGTTTTGCAATCTTGATGAGTCAACACTAGTTGCCGCAAGTCAAAGCCAGTCTGCAGATTTTGGTCAGTCAGAATCGACAGACTTCACAGAAATTACACAGTGTATGATGGGCACAGACTCTGGTTTTTTGAACTTCAGAATTGATTTGATCCAGTTGGAGGAAAACAAACGTGTTTGGTATTTTGAGCCAATTTTATAACACATTGTTTTCATTTGTTAATTTGTCTCTCAGCAACGAGGCTCATGTCTGCGCAAGTTTGTTGTGTTAAGAACGACTTGAAAGTATGGTAGTCTGTGATTCTTGGTGCGAGAATCAGATAAAAGAATATTCACTTCAAAAATGGCACTAGCACTTGACGAATTACTGACAAATGTCAAAGTGAAAACAAATCTATACAAAAGTATCTAAAATAATCAAAAATAATTACATTTGGCAAATCCAATTGAACATCCCTTTGAGTATATCAGTAAATCATAAAGAGTATGGCAGAGCTGTAAACCCAAAAACTGAGAGACTGAGTTCAGCTTCAGTTGCTGAGACAGTTTTACAGCTTTATGGGAGAGTGGCAAAGAGAAAGCCACTGTTCAAAAATGTCACATGGCATTTCGGCTGCAGAGTGCCAGAAGGCATGTGGGAGACTCTGCAGCCAGCTGGAAGAAGCTTCTATGGTTTCATGAGACCAAAATTGAGCCATTTTTTGGCTGTCAGACTAAACACCCCATTTGCGTCCCCAAACGTCCCCACTGTGAAGTGTGGTGGTGGCAAAATCATTCTGTGGGGATGAAAGAAGATGCTTGCACATCAACACAAAGCTACAGTACATAATAATGGCTTATAAACAACAACATTAATGAGCCAAATCAGAGTCTAGATCTCAGTCCAGATGAGAATTTATAGTTGGATGTCTATATTGACTAGAATACTTATGCATATATATTTTGTGTGTTTAATGTTTAAATGTGATCAACTAATGTGATCAATCTTGACAAATTTGTAGAATTTTCATTTTGAATTGAAACAAATGTTTTAACATTTAATTTTTTTTCATTTAGCAGATGCTTTTATCCAAAGAGACTTACAAATGAGCCAATAATAATCATTAGTAAACAATGCCAAGTTTAAATTAGAATCTATATTAGTACACAAGCTAGAGCAAAGGTAAAATGCAGGAAAGAGAGGACATTTTTATTTTATTTTTAAATAAATAGTTGCATTTGCAGCACATCATTCGTTTTTATCACTGTCAAAAAGACTAAAATCAATGTAAATCAATAAAACTTCCAAGGATATTGAATACTGTTTACATGCCCTTATTCATTCACAGATAACAAGTGATGCTTCCACTCGAGCTGTCCTGTGGTTTGACTGAAGCTATCATTTCTTTGGTTCTTGCTAACAGGAGCTTGTGTTTAGCTGTGGTTTTCTTTAACCTGGCTAGCTCACATCCGTCAGCCTTGGGCTCATCATACTGTAGTAATGAGGGCCTGTTCCTTTCTTCACGGAGTTGGGCTGCTAATTCTCTCTCTCTAAACACCCTGTCATCCAATCCCGCCACTGACATTGGATTCAGATGTGTCTTGCTGCCTTCCTCCCCCTGTATGCTGACTAGTACCTACAAAGGCAGCACTTTTCAACTTTCTGACACTTTCGTCAGGAAAATGTGAGGGAATGTGAGAGACAGGAGTCAGGACAAACAAGCTGCAGCTGGAAATGGGAACGCTGATGCCGAGGGTTGGCTCTCTCAGGTCTGACTGGGTTAAGTCAACAGCAGGTTTGGCCACACTGACCCAGAGAGCCACATGCGAGAAACCAGCTGCAGCCTTGCGCAAGTACAAGTTAATTTTGCTGTCTTCAACAGAGCTTGTAATTATTTCCTCTTGTAAACACTACATAAATCATTCAAGGTTTAATACAGGAACTGCATCCTCTGGGATGCTAATGCTGAAACGGAAAAATACCACCAGGGGATGCCCGAAACACTTTGCCCTATTTACATTCTTATTTCCTCATTCCAAACTCCACTTGTCTCAAGTTATTAACCCATTTTCATAAGCAAGCTGTAAGACTTCAGCAACTTAATTTTTGCTCCGTGATCAAAAACAAAACAACAGAATTAGCTAAAATCGAACTGGATGTTTGCCTGTTTATATTATTTTTTTAAATGTGGTCAATATCAGATTTGAGTGTGAAGTTGTGAACTGATCACGGTCCTGACTCGTATGTGCAAAAGAACAATAAGAAAGATGGCACACATACTAACTGAAAAATCAAAGAACTACGGGTATGTAAAAATAATGCCAATCTAGAGTGACGTAAAAGTCATATGAATACCAATATGACTGTTCAGATTGAGGTTGCATTGCAAAACATTAGACATGTATCTGATTTAATACCACATATAGAAGTGACCCAAATCAGAACACCAAATTCAGAAAATCAGATTCCATGTGGTTTGTGCTGTTTATACTGCTAAAAAGATCATATATGAGCCAAACTTTTTTTTTATTTGGACAACTTTTGCCTGCAGTCTGAATGTAGCCATAGACACTAGGTGGTGGCTGTTTTAACTGTGCTAAAATAGAAACACTATGGCAATCACCCAGAACAACATAGCAAATACTAGACTCTAAACTTAACGAAGTATAGCATTGGTAGCACATCCTGATTGACAGCATTACCGTTTGTCACTCTGAACTCTTAGCTGAATTCATGAAGTCTGACTTTTTCTTGACAGGTGACTGTGTGAGTGAGTAGACCAATGAAACTGGCTGCGGGCATGATTTGCACTTGAAAAGACAACAACAACAGAGTCATACCACTATTAATCAGTGCACCTCAAAGTAAAAATATTTCAGTCTCCTAAAGTATGTGGCCTGTCAAGTATTGCTGACTTACCATTTCTCAGAATGTACTGTAAGCTAACACCAAATAACACATTCAGTGCACTAGAACGATTATGTGATCAATGAATATGTCGGTTCATGAATGTCAGTTTAATTACAGAAGGTTTTATTCTTCCTCTTCTGAAGATGTGAATCTAATTAAACTCATTAATACAGTGCACCTAACAGACTAAAAATACAAATGCTGATCCGCTACAATAGCACAGACCTCAAGAGCCTAAAGATAAAACACAAACAAGCACACATAGGCTAAAAAATACACTAACATGTAAGAACGAACATAAAAATGAACATGGAATAACACCGCCTGACTGGTGGCATTTAATTGAGCACTGCTTATGAAAGCCTACATGTAATTGCCTCACGTTGTTGTGTAGTTGGAAGTGTTATGGAAAATTGAAGCTTTGATAACTATAAGATGTTTTATTAAATGTTGAAGTAATTAAATGGTTCTCTACAATTCAAATTTATGGCACTTTCACTTTTTTTATTTTTTAAACGGTTTGCCAAATGCCTAAATTACAGGGTATTTTTACTGAAGGGCGGGGGGGGTCATCTGTTCAAATTAACAGATGACAAAATCTGATTAAAACACAATCTTAGGCTAGGGCTGGGCAATATGGCCAAAAAAATTACAATCCCACTTTATATTGTGTCCCTAATACCTGCGTACTTGCATAGCAACTAAATGTGTACGTAGTATGTGTGTAAGTACACATTGGTACATAGTATCTACAGCTGTAATATTTCTGTAACTACACACATGTAACAACCCTCAGGAAGGTTTGTGTAAGTTTAAATGTGTAACAGGACATATATAACCACATTTTGTAACAACAATATGTATAAGAGTAATTGGAACCATTTGATCCAGGGGGTGGAGATGGGTAGGTTTAGGGATATGTAAAGTGGGAGGAGTTGGATCTCAAGTTGATGGAGTTGAAATACCACTGTAATACCAGTGTACTTACATGGTAACTCCTCAGGAACTGTCCACAATATAAAGTGTAACATTCTGATCACCAACCACAATTTATATGTAAAGCCTAACTTACTGGCCGCTGATGTGTAACATCAGAGTAATTACATGATAAATCTAATATAAAGCGTAACACTTTCTTTACCAATGTCCTGTCACACATTTGTACTCACACATACCATTCAGTGGGTTGTTACATATGTGTAGTTACACAAACATTAGAGCTGTAGATACTATGTACCAATATGTACTTACACTGTGGTTACATACTATGTACACATCTAGTTACTATGTAAGTATACAGGTATTAGGGACACAATATAAATCAGTCAATATCGATAATTATCACAATACATTTTTAAATCTTTATTTCTTTCAAGTTTAAAGGCAGATTTTTGGTCCTAAGTGAAAGTTTATTAAACCAGACCGTTTATTGTTGTTTTAAACGACTCTTTACGGTCAGAACACTTCACGCTTTTTATTTACACTTTTCCAGTAGTTTTTCCTTAAAATAAGTATATTAATAGAAAAATTATTTCTTACTTTCTGCATGTTCTAATGAGTGGTATTGTTTTAAATCATGAAACAGGTTTGTGTTGCCTGACTTTGATGATGCATATCTTTAGCAGTTTGCAGTGCAGGCTGCAATATTAATAATATTAAATTTTTTTAATTTACATTTTTTACATCCCACCACTGCCAGGACAGCCTTTTTTAGGGGCAGTCGTGACCTAATGGTTATAGAGTCAGACTTGTAACTCGAAGGTTGCGGGTTCGAGTCTCAGGTCCGGCAGGAATTGTCGGTGTGGGGAGTGAATAACCAGCAGGTGAGACCCTTGAGCAAGGCACCGAACCCCCAACTGCTCACCGGGCGCCGCAGCAATATGGCTGCCCACTGCTCCGGGTGTGTGTTCACGGTGTGTGTGTGTGTTCACTGTGTGTCTGCACTTGGATGATTTAAATGCAGAGCACAAATTCAGAGTATGGGTCACCATACTTGGCCACACGTCACTTCACTCACTCACTCACTCACTCACTCACTTTTTTGGTCTCTTAGAAATGCACATTTGACAGTAGCTTGAGTGGACAGTAGTAGTAGCTTGAGTTAGGATTAGTGGTCGACCGATATGGGATTTTTATCTTTTATCTTTTATTTTTATTTCTTAATTAAATAACTTATAAAGTAATTTGAAAACCTTGTGTGAGACGTAATTTCACAAACAGCGTGAGTGAATCACCGCGCGCGCGCTCTCACTCTTTCTCTCTCAAAATACGCAAATGTCTTCAAATCACCACATCGCGTCTGCACTATAAGCGAGCTGCACGTTGCACAGTTGACACAGGAATTGTCACTTGCACAAAGCTAAAAAAAAAAGGCAGTGTCACATCGTCACTAAAGTTTATAAATTGCATTACTTTTTAATTCTTGCCAGTGTTTAACCATTCAGCGCTCGCGCGCTCTCCTGGAGAACGTGCGCTCATGCCCACTCGCAGCGCACACACATAATGCCAGGTTCACATTACTCCGTTTGCAGTGCGAATGTGGTGCGTATTATTTCCGCGCTCATATTAAAAGATTAATAAAGCGTGCACACTGTACACGGTTGCGGTCCGGCAGTGCGTTCCAGGCGTTCCAGTAGTTTTCGCACTAAAAACTACTGGAACGCCTGGAACTACTTTAAGTCTATTTTTGCTGCGCTGCAAGCGCTGAATTAAAGTGACAGCGCATTTTTTGCAGTAAATATACATATATAGTTTACCGAGCAACAGGTTGTTTTAATTATAGTATGGAATAGTTGGTTAATACTAAAGATTTATGTCTCTGATCTGTTTCGTTTTGCTTGTCTGTTTCATTGTAAAAAATATACAAGTCTGAAGGCGTACATGTTTGGTTACCAGCATATAGCAGCATTAAATAAGACCGGAACATACGAAAAGGTATACTACACGCGATATTACGGCAATCATGGGCAATCAAATACAGCGGATATTCCTGAATAAAAATATAAAGGAATTCAAACTTATTATTACTTAGAGTTCTCGTGTTGACCCAGCTTTTGTTCTGGAGTGCACCGGCTTTTGAGTCCACTGGAAAACAGTGTCTTGTTTAGAAGTACCTGAGAACAACGCGCATATCTGAGGAAGAGCCAGTCGCGGGATTTTTGATTGTTTGTGAGATAAACACGGTTTAATTTTTGTTTGAATTCGTTTATATAACATCTGTGTCTCCCACCAGAGCTGCGGATCTGATCTATCACGGTACATTTGAATAAGATTTTGCTGCACGTCGGAGTGTTATTGTATGTAAAACAACGTACCGTCACGTTAGAAAGTAAATAATGATTGGTCATTTTACTGTCTGTCAGGTGCTGGCTTCACAAGTTTGCACATCTGAGTGGCTTGCACATCTGAGTGGCTTCACAAGTTCACACATCTGAGTGGCTTGTCTTAAAGAGGAAGCATAAATGCACGATATGGTGTCATAAACCGTTTTGAAAAACATCGGCCACATGAAAAGATTTATCAGCCGATGCCGATATTTAAAAAATTCCAAATATATCGGCGATATATCGGTCGACCACTAGTTAGGATACAGGTGCAAATTTATGTACATTATCAAAAACAGTAACATCTTTAAAAAATTGTAGCAACCTAATTTTTTATAGTGAAAATTAATTATTCTAAGTGCTTGAGTTTTATCAAAGCGGTCATGAACTGCCTTTTTAATTATTTTTTACTGTTTTTATTATTTTGAGGTCCACTTATAATGTAATCAAGATTTTTACATTAAAAAAAAACATAATTTAGAAGTAATAGGCTATTTTCTGTCCTGTTTTGACCCCCCTCATCGGAATGCTCTGTTTGAATAGGTGTGGTGGATTGTAGACTCAGAAGTAAATGCCCACTGCTATGACTGGCTAACAGTTGTGTATGTTTGACAGCCGACAGCCTTCACAGATGGACGCTGCTGTAATTTAGGTTAAAAACTCATAAATACTCAGTACATATCAAATGATCTGTAATAACAGACAAAGCAATAGTAACCACATAATAAACACAGTTACTTGTGTGGTGCAACATGTCGGATGTAATGTCGGATCCAATATATTCAGCACAGCATCGTCTTTTAGTTTCAGTCTTTCTGAAAATCCTGCATCGAATTGTGCCTTGTTTGTAAACAAATCTGGGGTCAAATGAAGTGAAAAAAGGACTCAGAAAAATTCTTACTGACGCGGTCTAGATCTTCATTTAAAATAAAGTTCATCCACTCTTTCCTAATGTTGGGATCAGAAGGAACGCAAGGCAGCTTGGCACTGCACAGCGTCTTGTCTTCTGAGCATCTTTATCGTTTGGTTTCTGCATAGACCTGCGATAGCCTCGTTATTTACACTACATGCGCAAATCGGTGGGCGGGGCTAATCAGGCAGTGCTGTAGAAGCAGGCACCGATCTTCTGCGGAGGCGAGGTTTAGCCACACTATTACATCATAAAGTGGCACATTCCACAACCTGTCATTTTGGCAGATTGGCTTCAATATAAGCCATTTTTAGACTAACAAGAAAGTTTTGATTTCTGAAACTTACAGGATGTTTTTACTGTACAATGACCTCTTAAACGTCAAAAGATCAAGGGAATTTTGATTTCTCAGTTCATGACCCCTTTAAAATTATCCATCAGTCTTCCATAATAGCATACATTTAGTTAGTGATAGCCACAGTTAAAACCACATATATAGCACCTCAATACCATGGTAAAAATGTAACTATATGGTTTCTAGGTATTTGTATGAAAAACAGTAGTCTAAATTCATTTAGTATAAATGCACAAACGCTATAGCTTAATCACAAAAACTACTGTAATTATATTTCATTACTCCTTTAATATATTTAATACATGTATACATTAATAATCTAATAAAACTGGATATGAATATCCCACATTTCTGCCACAATACCATGGTGCGGTTAGTGTTACTACAGTAAATTCATGGAAAATAATGGTGATTTGTATATTGAAAAGCCTTCTGACTGCATCCTTGCACACAGTGTTTCTGCTGTTTGTCAGCGCTGTTTCATCTGGATGTAATGTCGGATCCAATATATTCAGCACAGCATCGTCTTTTAGTTTCAGTCTTTCTGAAAATCCTGCATCGAATTGTGCCTTGTTTGTAAACAAATCTGGGGTCAAATGAAGTGAAAAAAGGACTCAGAAAAATTCTTACTGACGCGGTCTAGATCTTCATTTAAAATAAAGTTCATCCACTCTTTCCTAATGTTGGGATCAGAAGGAACGCAAGGCAGCTTGGCACTGCACAGCGTCTTGTCTTCTGAGCATCTTTATCGTTTGGTTTCTGCATAGACCTGCGATAGCCTCGTTATTTACACTACATGCGCAAATCGGTGGGCGGGGCTAATCAGGCAGTGCTGTAGAAGCAGGCACCGATCTTCTGCGGAGGCGAGGTTTAGCCACACTATTACATCATAAAGTGGCACATTCCACAACCTGTCATTTTGGCAGATTGGCTTCAATATAAGCCATTTTTAGACTAACAAGAAAGTTTTGATTTCTGAAACTTACAGGATGTTTTTACTGTACAATGACCTCTTAAACGTCAAAAGATCAAGGGAATTTTGATTTCTCAGTTCATGACCCCTTTAAAATTATCCATCAGTCTTCCATAATAGCATACATTTAGTTAGTGATAGCCACAGTTAAAACCACATATATAGCACCTCAATACCATGGTAAAAATGTAACTATATGGTTTCTAGGTATTTGTATGAAAAACAGTAGTCTAAATTCATTTAGTATAAATGCACAAACGCTATAGCTTAATCACAAAAACTACTGTAATTATATTTCATTACTCCTTTAATATATTTAATACATGTATACATTAATAATCTAATAAAACTGGATATGAATATCCCACATTTCTGCCACAATACCATGGTGCGGTTAGTGTTACTACAGTAAATTCATGGAAAATAATGGTGATTTGTATATTGAAAAGCCTTCTGACTGCATCCTTGCACACAGTGTTTCTGCTGTTTGTCAGCGCTGTTTCATCTGGCTTTAAACTAGTTTAAATCACAGAGTCATTTGTGTTCTTCGCTGTTTAGTGGTCGCATGACTGAGACTTATCAGCAAGTAAATGTATCTGCTCTGGTAAGCTCGCACTGCGCTACCGTTTGAACTTTGAGCTGAGCGGATAAATGGTCTGTGTGGCGCGTTTCAAATGAGTAGTGCTGTTTCCTTTCAATACAGTACAGTCCAATCATTTAATATAAATGTAGCTGACTAATTTCTCATAGATCAATGCTTGAAATGTTGACTCACCCACTACCATGATGTTGAGCTCAAAGCCCTGTTTCATGGCCTTCCTCCTCATCTGCTCCAGGATGGCATCGATGCCCACATAGCTGAAGTCGACGCTGGGCTTCTCCAGGTACATGGCTGGAGGCATCTCTGGTATAACCGACTCTGCCATGACGCTACTGCTGCTGCTGCTACTGCTGCTGTAGCTGGAAATGACCTCTGACCCTGCAGACATGAAGAAAAGACATAATGAGGAGCCATATATCATGGGGCATTTTGTTTTAAAGCTCATATCCACTCAACAGCAGTCAGCAGCATTTACACTATAGTGTATTTTATAAGCTGATACAGACATTCTTGGATAGAATGTGCTTTTACACAGCTGGAAAATAGACATAATAAACAGGCGACTCTTCTCCAGACTGGAGCCAGCTAGCACATTTTTACTTCTCGATTTAAATAAATATCCATTTATTTGAGGCATATTATTGGGCCAAAAATGTTCTCATTTCTCTACGAATGAATCAATCATGTGAAAGAGCCCCTCTCCAAATCATCTACTGACATTATTTAGAGTACAACAATCTTATGACCCCTCGGTGATCAGGCTGGGATCACAATACATTATGTCAAAAGCCAAGGCGCATTGTGTCTGGAATATGATCGGATCACTGAAACCACATTTAAAGGTGATCTGGAACAGATTTTCACCACATTTAAATTAGGGTGTACATGCATATGTGTTGTCATTCAGCTATGAAAGTACACTCTAAAAAATGCTGGGTTAAATACAACCCAGTGCTGGGTAAAATAGGGACAAACCCAGCAATTGGGTTGTTTTGACCCAGCGGTTGGGTTAAATGTTTAACCCAACCTTCTGGGTAGTAACCCAACCGCTGGGTCAAAACAACCCAA